ATGACCCGACTCGAACGGATACTCATATCTCCTAACATGCGTAGACCGTTTTACTCAATGGCCAGAAGCAGTACCGATTAAGGACATTACTGCTGAAACCGTGGCCCGCGCTTTCGGATTTCGGCTGCCCTTCAACCATCACTACAGACCGCGGACGCCAGTTCGAATCTGGACTTTTCCGTTGTCTGACCACACTTTTAGGAATCACGCGCTTCCGAACGACCGCCTACCACCCACAAGCAAACGGGTTGGTAGAACGTTTTCATCGACAATTAAAAGCCTCATTATCAGCTTCAAACGTTTCACAGTGGACAGACGCTCTTCCACTCGTCTTGCTAGGTATCCGCAATGCAGTGAAAGCTGACATTGGATACACGGCATCTCAACTCGTTTACGGAACGACACTTCGACTCCGAGGAGAATTCGTAGATCCTTCAGTTTCTTCATTGAACATGGATCTAAACTCTTACACCAGTAGGCTTACAAACGCTATGCGTTCAGTTAAACCTGCTCACGCTCGACCTCAATCAACTGATGTTTTCGTTCAACCCGAATTACGACATAGTACACACGTCTTCGTTCGTCGAGACTCACATCGACGACCCCTCGAATCAGCATGCGAAGGACCCTTCAAAGTTCTTCAACGCGAACCTAAGTACTATGTAGTCGATAAGAACGGTACGAACGATATCATCAGTATCGATCGACTCAAAGCTGCGTACCTAGAAGGAAACCCTAGCTACGTCGATTTTCCTTCGGTACAAGCAAACGACACAGCTACTACACTCGTAGTACCCTACACGACAACCGACACACAACTTGATACTTCGTCAACGTCGATAGAAAAACCTAAAACAACGCGTTCTGGAAGACGAGTGAGATTTCCAGAACATCTTAACGAATATTGCACGTAGGACATAAGCTTTATCTTGAATTACCCTTCCATAGTTCATTATAAAAAAATTTTTAATATGATAATTTTTTTTATATATATAAAAAAACCAAAAAAACAAAACATTTTTATCTTTTTTTTTGAGCGTATATATATACTTTTTATATATAAAAAAAACCCAAAAACAAACCATTTTTTTTCCAATCGCTTTTACGCTGTTTGTAAGTGTATCAGTTTACTTTTTTCACTTATCTTGTGTCCTTACGCAAGTACGAGTGTATTTTCGACATGCACTCACACGTTTTATTTTTCCTCTTTTCCAGGACGGCTGGAAAAGAACGACGAAGTTTCGCAAGAAACCGAAATTTTCATTGCACTATATTTTTTTATTGCTATGTTGTACATTTTGGTCCCATAGTTTAAGGAAAGACGGCCAGATGCTGCTAAACGAAGCAAGCTATCAGAAGAGTGTTTACCAACGACAAACTCGTTGGGTTTAAACTTCTGGCTGGTCACGTCTTAGGGGCATCACTACCTCACTAGGGGGGGAGTGATCTGTAGCTGTAAATAATTCCCCAAAATCAATAGTTCATTAAGTGTTCGACATTGGATGCTGACCACGTGTTTAAGTGGACTTGTTTAGCTGAAGGCTTTCGGTCATGCATCCGTACAAGATCACGTTTCAACACGGCGTGGGACACAGCTCCTACGTTTCATTAGCCAGCTCATAGAAAAGGTCCTCGATATATTGGTAACGAATAAAATATATCTTTCCTGCCTCTTCTCGTCTGACTTCTGATTTCTATCTGACTGGGAACGATCAAATATAGAAGGTGCTACTGGTAGCTAGTTGTAAAACTAGAACATCCGTTGCATCATCAATCTACATCTACAGTGACATTAGTTCACACAGGTTCTTACAAATTTACTACCGATAAAACAATTCAATTCAAACTGAATGATGAAAAAATCTTTAAGTATAAGCTGGTTACTTATTTGTCAGTCATTTCGTAGAAACGAATTCTTAAACGTCGCTGGTTAATTGTACCCTTGACACAGGATGGAATTTATAATGCGCTGGTTTTAATGCTCGGTTCTCTGGTTTTCGTTCCTAAGGTTAGTTGTTGTGGTCATCTGCCATTTGGATTGGGTATCAGCAACAAGTTAAGTATTTTCTGTGGATATAGTTTACAAGGCACTTGTGTGACATCTTCATATAAACTAATACTTATGTAATATAGCTGGTAAAGTCAACTTCAATATTTAGTAGTTACTTATGTACGACATTATTTATGACCAATATCATCATGACAAGCTGAAAAACAGTATTTTCGCAGTCATTGTAGAAGGGATTCTCAAACTTACTCCAAGGTTCCTAACTTGGGCATAGTGAGGCCTAATCAAAACCTCAGTAAATCATTTGTTGATTATTAACTGGTCATATATATCATTCTGGTTTCTGAATCTCGTTGGTGAACTCGTTAAAAATTTATTCTGTTTAGTTAGTTTCAACATTTTTTTATGCCACACTCGGTACTTGCGTACGCAAGTCTCAAAAACTCATTTCTTATCAAAGTAACATTCTTGCAACTGATATTTGTGTGTTGAACTACAGGAGTTGGCTTATGAATATATCGTTGTGTAGTTTCATTTTTTCTGTGTGCAATTCTGGCTTGGTAGTAACAAGTACTCAGTAGGGTCATCAAAAAATAGGCATAACTATAACAATATTCACTGGATAGTAGATATAGTATTATTTTTCCTTTTAATCAGGGTCATCAGGTTGTAAGTGCGTTAGCCTTTTTGTAGTCAAGGAGTTGCTGTATTTGTATAGGCGCAAGGGTTACGGGTAAACTTAGTCCCGCTTCTAAGAATGCATAATATCTAAAAGCTCCGATAAGCTTCACAGCGTTCATGCAAAATAATACCTTCTGTTTTACTATGACATTAAATAAATACAATGATACAAATAGCACCTGTGGGTAAAAGTCAGGCGAAAATCAATCATGAGTTGTACTTTAACCATATTTCTTAACCTTTGTTTAGTCATAAATAACAGACTATACGAGACTTGCAGTATTAGTATTGTAAGCGTAAATTGTATAAAAATGTATGACAAATGGAATAGCGTTTCTCGCTACGACATTCGCACTCTTATAATCCCTAAATTTCTTCAGACCTCGTTCAACATCATGGTGTTTAGTAGTTCATAAAAAACATTAATTTTGCGTGAACCATATAAAATTTCAACTTTCGTAGCATTCTTAGACCAAGCAGTTGACTCATTACTTGTATTGTGAGCATATTGATTGTTGCTAAGATACTAGAGTGTTTTGGATATTTATAAGACATAACCAACCACTCCGAACCCCAACGAAAAATAATGGTTGGTGTAGGAGTAGGTGGGAAGAATACTAGATGCTAAACTGAAACGTGGTATCAGTTCATGGAGCCACTAACCATTAAGCTGAGCAGTGTAAGTGCAGACTACCTGACTGAGTTCTTGGCACTTACCGTCATCAGTAGTTAGTGGTTATAAGTTGGGATGAATGGTGGCTAGCAATTGAATCTAGGGAGCACGTTTCATTCCATTTAGGACTCTTCAGATGGATTTACCTGCACCCCAGGGTTGACGATCATTCCGGGACTCGAACGCAGTCCTGTTCGCTTCAATTACCATCGCGTTATTCACTTAGCTACTGAGTCCAGATAGTCGCTAGTGTATGCAATGATGAAGGTTAATTCATCTTGTATTGGTTGTTTGAGTCCCCCCTCTGACGTTCAGGGATTAAGGGAGTATCGAGGTAAGTCGTACAGAATACATATATACCAATAAGAGACTGATCGATTGTAGTTTACAAACATCAATGAAAAGATTAAAATAACCAATACAATATAAATATAGTTGGAGTCTTTATGTGACGTGGCTCGGAATCGGTCGCAGTAGTGCAGCTTCATCCACTCTCGGCGAGACTAAACTATATGGACGAGCCAATCAGAAGCTTTCACGGATTTTCAAGGTCAAAGCGCTAAGTTCGCTACCTGATGCCTACGTACGGTCGGTTTTCAACGGATTTTAGAGGAGACGATAATTCAGCGTCTACAAGAGGAGTGATCATAAGATTTGGCGCGAAATTCAATTATCCGCTGTATAAATAGAGTTTTGGCATTATAGCTGATGTCAGTTCGTGATGAAAACCCTAAGTATATTTCCTAACCTTAACCGTGAGCTGTAAATCATAATTTGAATTCTTCACACAGGTTTATAACCCTCATTTAGTCTTAGTTATTACGTTGACACCTCAGTCACTCTAGCGTCGCTCAAAGGTCGTCCATAATTTATAGTCTCATCCTTAATCCTAAACCTTAACTCTAACCCTAAACCATACCAACAACATTGAAGCTATGTGGTTGAGGCTGAAAGAATTTTTGAGACCTTATCATGGTTCCAGAGGTCGACTACTATGAAGCCACATGGATGAGTTCCTGTACCGGATGCACTATGATTTTAGAACTTCTGAACCTATATCTAACCTTAATAAGTTTTTGAGTCATGTAAAAGAACATTATCCCCTTTAATTTTTGAGTTTTGTGTAATATATTTTCACTATACTAACTGTCTTCTGATTGGCTAATATTTCTCAAGATCATTTAAGAGTCGTTCAAAGGTCGTCCGTATAGTTTAGTCTCGCCCCACTCTCTACCTCCCCTTAGATCTAAAGTTCCTCAATTATCTTTAAAACCCTATCTTATTGCAGTAATTCGGTGTGGGAACTTTATTCGTTACACATATGTTCCAGGTTCTACGTTGCGTATGACTGGCTAAGACATCGTAAACTATGTTCAGGGCTGTTATTTCGTGCGGAAATCTCCATAATCTGAATGTTTTGTTCAGCTAGATGATATTAAGTTGCCTACGGAAATATTTCTCACGCAAAAGTATAAAACAGGTTGTCGAATTCCTAAGATACAAAAATGGTTTCCTCAATGTTAGGACATTATTTATGTTTTAGACTGTAGTTAGATATTGTGTATCTGTATTTGCGGTCTGTATACGTACATCTTACGTAGTTCGTTTTTTCTGTTTTGTTTATGATGTCCAGTTTTAATGACGGATAATTGCAAACACGTCCTCAAAGTAAAAACAAGCATTCAGTTAGGAATACTCTCCCCCGAACACTGGCATTGCAACAATTGCCATACAACAGAAAGTGTTTGGGCCTGTCTGTCATGTAGCAACTTTGCATGTGGTCGTTATATTTCTGAGCATGCGTTGCAACACTTTCAACAAACAAATGTGAGTTTTCTACTACACTATTTTATTAAAGAGTAGCATCCTCTGTGTATAGAAGTGAATGAAAAATTTGTGTACTGGTAAGTACTGTTTCTCTTAACCGTTTGATATTAAGTTATATATGCGACGATTTTGTTCTCAATGATAACGCACCGGGTGATATTAAACTTCTCCGCATGGCTTTGGATGCAGTCACTACTCAAGATTTCGGCAAGCTTCTCAAACAAAAAGGGGGCAGACGAATTCTTAGATTCCGTGGTAAAGACGCTGAAAAGTAAGAATGCCACTCTATTTTTTACAATTAATTAGGAACAGTTTACGTCTGTTAAAGGCAGATGATATACAAACTGCAGTTGTCCGAAACAGGTAACACTTCTTATAAATCAACAAGTTTCAAGAACTTCTTGTCTTTCATGGGCATTACATCTTTGGTGGTCAAGATATGCTGAATCAAAAGTAAGTCATTACTAACCAACTATATATAACGTTATTAGCTTAACGCAGTTAACTACAAGAAAAAGACAAAAAGCAGAAAGATACCACTGACACTAACTCCTGCTTTTACAGGTTTGCGCAACTTGGGAAACACCTGTTACATGAATTCGATACTGCAAATTTTGCGGTAACACAATTTTATAGTTGTTAATAAGCTTGATTTTAGTCACACTGCTCCTTTCGCTAATTATATCATGAACCATACGTTGAGTGAAATTAATTCTCATTCAAGGAAGCGTCACAGCCACCCTGATGACTTATCTATTGGAGACCCAGTGTGTCCTGTCAAGCGACAAGCAACGACATCATCACTTTCGAAAAATCAAATTATAATAACTAACGACTGTGAAAATTCATGGAGTTCACTACCTACCAAATCACCTTCATGTTCTACAAATACAGAAAATAGTTTTGGTCATTATAGTGAGCCAAATTTAGTTTCTGTAAGAAAAAATATCATTCCTAAGTGCAAATCCTTTGGTGGTTTAAATGGCGGCCAGTGCCCGAAGTTTGTATATGGCTGTTATCAGCAATCACCTGCGTCATCGCTAGTCAACTCGCAAGTATCATCAATACCTTCTCTTTATGAAGAAATAAATAATTTATTTAAGTTATTATGGTCAGGTCAAAGGTCTGTTGTCAGTCCAAGTAACCTCTTAAGTGCCGTTTGGGCCACCCTCCCAACATTTAAAGGATATAAGCAACAAGATGCTCAGGAATTTTTGAGTTTGTTACTTGACCGTTTACAAGCAGAACTACATGGTGTCCCAATGTCTGTATCCAGTGGTTGTGATTTTATCACTCGTGCTTTCCGTGGATATTCCGTGAGTCATATACAATGCTCTACTTGTCATGTAACCGCTTGTACTGAAGAGCCGATTTATGAACTTAGTCTTTCACTACCCACCAAATGCCATTCCGATGAGTCATGTACATTTGATATAGTAGATTTACTTCGTCAATTTGTTAGCCCCTCTCCAATTGATGGAGCCAGTTATGCATGTGTTAAATGCAATCAGTGTTCAGAAATAAATAGGAAAGAAACAGATTTCACGAGACCGGTATTCAATCAGTGCAGTTATGATTCAAATGATCAGTTAGGCAATTTGTCTTATCCTGGTATGTTTTGTTAGACTTATTTTTATTGTTGCTTTTTTTGTTCGTAATTGATTCAACCGTTAATTTTGGTAAATACAAAAAAGCATGAATTATCGCTCTTACATATCCATACCCTATAGTCAAGTGGAATGATATACACGGGATTATGTAGTTTTACATCTTCGTTTCTCCGTCATGCAGAGCGCTCGAAATGTGACATTTTTCAACGAGTATATTACATGGTAAAATTTTTTACATGTGTTCTCTTATATCTGAATACCGGTAAAATGTTAATCAGTAATATGGATTTTAGGCCTACACGTTACGTAAGGTTATTTAGCAGATAATAACTTTTTGTTATAACTTGTGGCTGAGTGGGTGCTCTGATAATGTTCAACGTGATAAGACCGCCAATCAGAGAGCAGCGAATTATCGATTGGGACAGTGACACACGAAAACCGTACGAGCAGTCTAGAGTGCGTATCGGTCCTGCTTCTGCCCAGCCAAGCCAGTTAAGTCCAGAACAGGTTCTGCGGTGTGAATCATTATGTTTCAAGCATACTGGGTTTATATACCAATCAAATGGACCATATCGTACCATAAAATGGAAAATAACGTTTGTAAAAGATTTAGCCAAATGTGGCTGTGAATGTGGGGGGCAGTAATTAATAGATTAAGGATAACTCAAGTCGTTTAATAATAGTCTATGGGTCAAAAAGCTTATAATAAGAGGGACACGAATATGAATAGTTTATTTAGTTGACAATTATACAATAAAAATATACATGTAGTATTGGTCCACAAACGGGTCACCATTCACTATTGTTATCAAGGCATAACACTTTTAATACTAGCTACTTAGTAGCTGTCAGTATCAAATCACATGTATATTACTCGTTTGTTCTCAGCTAAATGCATCGCAGAAACTTACTTATTTATTTTCTCACCTTGTTTTCAAACGTGATTATAGAAGTTTTAAAGTTTCTATCCTTCATAGACATGGTCTTTTCGCTGTCAAATTTATGGGAGGTATATCGCTTCTATAAACTGTCGCAAATCGTTTCTCAAGTATTGTATTACTTTCGGGAGTTCTCGCTTCAGTCGCCTGCTGTTCTGAAAATCACAGACCTATTCACTAGAGGTTGCTGCTACCCCCGACCGTTGCTGCTACCTTGACGTGGTGGTCGGGCTTGCCTATCGTGATGATCCAATCGAGCTATGCTGGCTGGAACAATCGTTCCTCAAGGTCCTACCATGCCAGACAGGTCGGTTGAAGAGCGGTGAGACTAAAAGCAGCAATCCCAAGGTCCGAAGGCGAAGTTGTACTGCTGACTGTACAGAGGTGTGACAGCAGTAAGGTGTTTCCTTCAGACAACCAGCATGACAGCGGTGCTGCCTTCCCACAAGGAGGGGTGGGGTTAGAAAAGGTCGACCCTAAAAATGCACACCTCGCCTTATCCCACGGATTTCCGTCTCCGGCGGTAAGGACTTTTGAAGAACGGAGCTAACACGTCAAAAATCCCCCACAAAAAGGCCGTGCGTGACCGGCCTCAAGCAGTTGTCTGTTGGGCACTGCGGTCACGCTCCCAGGTCGTTAAGACCAATACTAATCCAACTTCTTTTTCAGGTCCCTCAAGAAATACCCTTCCACGGTGTGGGCAGCTGGGAAGGGATACTAGCCCTCATACCCTTAACTGCACACGAGACCAAGTTGGTCGCTTTCAAATCCTTCCTACACCTAATAACTCTGTTATCTCCACCACTAACCCTTCCCACGTCCTTTTATCACCTCGCACCGCTAGGGCAAACGACTGAGTCTGTAAAAAAATGAGGTAGTTTTACGTAGCAGGGCTTTCAATTAGATATTGGTCAAATGTCAGTTCAGATAGGACTAATGATAGCAAAAGTATTAGAGTTGCTTCTGTAAGGAAAACTTTTTTTGAATGTTAAAAACCAGTAATTTTAGGTTTGTGTGGCGCATATGTACCTGGTGCCCTTTTGTACCAATATATATGTGTTTAAATAAATAATAATAAATAGTAATTTTAGGTTAGATACTCTGAATGCTTACTGATCTGAAATATTTTTAACATAGTTTTATCAATACATTCTATTGCACAATGAGTTTAACATGAATCTTGAGTTATTGATTGTCATTGAAAAAAACTGATTGCTAGTTGTAATCCTGATTTGTGTACCTGTCAGTTGTGCGTTGAAGAATAACTTGGTTGTCTGTTTTAATTTTATGGCGTTTGTCTCAATCATACGACTATATTTTTAATATTTTTAAAAAACTTTATAGTGAATAAAATTATATCTATCGCACTGTCCAGGCTCGCATCTCCATCTTGTAGTCCTCAGTTATCTTATCCTGATTTCAGTACATCATGCGAGTTAACTGAAACTTTTTCACTGTCAGAAAGTCCATTATCCGTTTCTTCAAGTGTAACTGGTTTTGAAGAACAATACACCAATCCACCGATTGAAAGATCACATCAAATTACTCAACCATCCGTTGTTCAGTTCCCAATCATCACTTCACCTAAGAATTTTCCAACTCCTCTTCCTAAGAACTCATTGTTAACTCATGCAACCCAAACAATTCGCCTTTCTAAACTCCCACGAGTTTTGCGGCTACATATTAAACGCTTCCGGTATGTGTTTTAGTATATATATTAGTGTCAATAAAAGTTGTATATATGTTAATTCTTTGAATCCTTTTCTACATCTTCGTCATTGTAGCTGACTTCACTATAGCCGTTGAGTTCACCTTTCATCTTTAGGAATGCACAAATAAATTGATTCGTTCATTATCGAATCAAATTCGATTCATACCAGTGAACATCAGTTATAATCACTGTAATTCAAGATGAAATGTGGTCTACGGAAAAAGCACAGTTTGTAATGGAACTGTGCACCAGTTCTTTTACCTTTCTATTGTTTTGAAGGCTCAAAATAACATCTTTCGTTCATAAGAATTATTACCAAATAATACTACGGAACAGTGAAACACCTCAATACAACAATAAACAAGTCTTGTCATCATTGGTTATTTGCTTTGAGATGTTCATGTTTTGAATCAAGCACATCTCTAGTTACACCATCGTATCTAAGAAGGTTAGCTGTTTGCAGTAGCGATTACCTATTGGAACTTATCAAGCGGATTAGCTGGTGAATTTGTCACTGAAGTCAAACATCTAATATTGAATTAAAGTAACTTGATCGTCAAGCAACATTCAGTAGTATTGTCCTGCAGTAGATCAAGCAAGAGAGATTTGATAACCGTCATTTTTGTTAAAAAGTCACGAAGTATTAGGACAACCATTTCAGGCGATTCCAGACTTAAATTTAATTATTATTAATTAGAGTAGTGAAATATGATATTCTCAGTATTACTGTTTCAAATGTGTTTTCAATAGAAGCAAACAAATAAACGGAAATAACGTAGAATATAAAGGAGATTTTACGTCTGTTTAAGTTGTTATTCCATTCCAAAACACTGCAATAAAGAAGCAATTACGGTAATAGTATGGTGTGTGCTACCGGTGTCGACAGATATAAGTAGTATGTATCATTAGTCGAAAGTGAAAGTCCTGGCGGCAGAAGGATAGGAAGATCAAAGAAAAGAGAACGGGAACAAAGAATGATTAGTGTGGAGACGAAAGAACAATGATGTCTGAGACGATTGATTGAAATTTTGCAAATAATAAATTTATTGTACAGTTCTGAGATTTTACTAAGATGTCCCCTAACTTTGTATTCAAACACATTCGATTGTCCCAACTTGTGTTCGAGTTCACTACAATAACAATATCGACAATAGCTCCATTTTGTACTCGAAGGTATTCTATGTACTTTTTTGGAGGAAATTTACATTCAGTCAGTGATAATCAACGATGAGCCTATCATAAACATCCTTCAGCCCAAGTTGAACTCGGTTTATGTTTGTTATGTCATATTAAGTGCATAAATAATCTCTGTTTTAAGCTTTACATCGTTTAATCACTACATATTTTTTTATTGTATTTTTTTCAGTTGGGTTGGTAGACAAAGAGAAAAGCTAACATGTCATGTATCATTTCCTCTTATCTTGAATATGAGTGAATTCGTGTTAAATGATGTAGACAGAGCAGAATGTCATCAGCCTCATTTACATCAGACAAAATCTGATCATATAGATGAACCTGAAGCTTCTATCGATAACTTAAGCTGTCATCAGTCGTCCATATTCACTTTGCCAAAAGAGTTTGAGAAAAGTTCACTTAAGTATCTTTACCATTTGACCGGCGTTGTCGTGCATCATGGGCGAGGGCTTCAGTCTGGTCATTATACCTCTTACTGTTTGAATGATAATCCAGGTTGGTTCATATCATCAACTACTTTTTGATTACTTTTTAATCTTAATATATTTTCTCTGTCGATTCGCCCATAAATTTCAGTATAAAATCGTATATATATATATATATATATATATATATATATATATATATATATATATATAATGCTGACATTTAATATTTAATGACCATTCATCTCATGCATATTTTCTACTCTACAGAGTGTTGGTTGCATTGCAATGATGCTAACGTATCTTTATGCGATTTCTCAGAAGTAGCATCAGCTCAGGCCTATATTCTATTTTATTCAGAGCTCATGCCACGAACACCCTTTCCAAAGTGGTATAGAGATTCAATAGCTTCTGTCAGTTCCTACAGCACTACGCCTTATTCTGTTTCAGAACCCGAATTATTAAAAAATCAGTCTAACAGTCCATCATGCTCTAACAATCATGAAAATACTTGTAAAAATTTCCAAGACAATCCTGTATTACAGGAAAAAGAATCAAAAACATATTCCACCAGAAGTTAAAATTTCGTCATAAACCAAGTAATTCCTTTTTTAATGCATTTGTATTTGAGGTGTGTATCACATTTAAAAGTTCGTTGTAAAATTGAAATCATTATTTTCTTTTTGCCTTTTGCCTCTATACTAATCATGCATATTGATTAGTATTATTGAAAATTTTAATACATCTAGTCCCTTGTATAACATTGCATTTCTTTTTCCTATATGCATTTTCATTTTGCAAACCAATTATCTTCACATAGAGGCTTGTTTGCGCCCGATTCCAGTCTGTTGTTGTGTTTGTCCAATGTTTGACTTGTATGTATACCACATCCAGTTTTTATATACATAATTATGACATATATTTAATTTTCTTTGTTAATGATGGGTGTTTTTTATTTATTGTTTATAAACTAGTTGTTGTTATCTAACCAATTTTTGTGTGATATGATCACCGAGTTTTTCGTGTGTGCAATAATAAAAAAAAGATATATTGTTAATAAAATTATATCTCCTACTAAATTACAGTATCACTGATGATAGATGGTGTTGTTTTTTTTGAGGGGAAGGAAGAAACTTCTACACTAATTGTTTGCTACTCTTTTTATGATTATGTTTAAGTTATTGTTATTACTTATAGTTTGTTACCGTTCATATTCATTCATTTTGTAACACATTCCCTTCTCATTCTCATAATTAATTTTCGTTTGTTTTGGTGAAAATTAACTTTCCTACTGTATGTGTGTGTATATAACTGCTTTCACTCTTTCCAGTTTGACTTTTGTCTAAAGTTGATGGCAAAATAAAGTTTATAAATTTCAATGGCAAATTATTGTTTTTAATTTTGATTCTGATATAAAGATGCTTAATGTAAATGAGAATTGTTCGAACTTTCTAACAACATTTTTATGTATACTTTGACAGGATTAGCCTACTTTAGACGTTCAATTCTACATGTCGTTCAATAAAAGTTGTTAGTGATATTGTCGGATTTTATTACATCCATATTTTTAAAAAACTCGTGTAATCAGTTGTACGTAGATGTATTTCGTACATTATCCCTGTACTCAAATCTTCATTGTTTTGAATTCAGTGACAATATTCACTGGCATTTTGAAGTATTGTAAGAATATCTTATCATAATTGGGTCAGTTACTAGTAGGGTCTCTTAATATCCTTTCGGTCAAAATGATGAATGGAAACAATCAATCTTCTGAGTTACATAAATATTTTGTATGTATTGCCTGAACTCATTAAGTGTACATATGGTTTATACCTACCAATGTCTTGCAATATCTGCCGGAGTATGTAGTTTAGTAGGTTAGATATGACTCAGTTTTTCACAACCCCCCCAAAAAACAACCACTGGGAATATATATATGTAGATAAATGTACAATCAATTATACTATAATTTGCGGCCATTTACATTCGTGCATTTATACAGTCAGTCAGTCACAACATAGAACTTCGTACGTACGTACATTAGTTCGAGTTGCCATACCGCATTAGCATAGAGATGCAGTTGTGCATTTGTACAGCTTTACATTTATCCTTTGTACAATACTCCACTTCCATTTTTATAATTATTCTGTCATATTGGGTGGAGGTGCTTAATGGAAAAATCATGCATTACTAGGGTATTTTCAATACAAATAGTAAGCAACGTTTTATTCTGTGAAATATCAACATGGTAGTTTAATAGAAATCAAGAACAAACAAGAAAACTTAGACTTATATATATGTCTTGATAGTTATATGAGTTGATTGGCTGGTTGTATTATTTTTTGTCTATAAATAAAAAATGTCTTTCTTATATGTAGGATTTACTGTGTCTGTTTTCTACACTCTACATAACTTTTATTATTTTCATCGATTTTTTAGTTTGTACATGTAAAGCTTTTTCGAAAAAAGGTGCAATACATCCTTCTGCATGTTTATTTTGACGAAACACGTTGAAATGCTGAATTCAAGAAATAAATATTTGAAACATCCATCATACGTAAATTAATGGTTGTACTACTTATGACTTTTCGAAACTGTATAAACATCAAATTGATTGTTCTTAGTTGGGTGCACTTAAACTGAAAATTACGACTAAGCGAATTACGAATACTTGACTACATAGCACCACATAATGAAAAATCGCAATTATACATCAACAAGCCAAAAGTGATTGTGAATAGAGCAAGCTGTGAAAAATCGATTAACAATAAAAAATGGAGTAATAAGTAGTCTAATAACAGTTAATAGATTAAACGGAAGCTTATGACAACCGGACAATGTAGATATAGTAATCCAGTTGGTTACCTGGTAACTATAAAACAAAAATCTAAATGATAATAATCCAAAAAACCAGTTTCAAAGTCCTAACTTTTATTTTGTTCGTCCATTCATAAAACTATAAATGACGAGACAATACTGGTCTGATGATAATATTATATATTTTTGAGAATGGAAACAGTTGCAAGTTAGTTTGGTTAGTTGACTACAAGATAGTGTGTGCTAATAGTGGGAATACACGGTGCTTCATTTTTGAACCAGATACATTTGATTTAGCTTAGTAAAACAGATGGCATGAGCACTAGGTATTCAATACCTATTGAATTGTTTGTGTGAGAGGATTATTAACCGATACTAAATTTCGACCATTCGATAAACAAAGTGAAATGTAATTGGGTGGTTTAATTATTGATTGAGATTATTGTCTACGTTAGGCAAATTAAAGCAGAATCTTTCCAACATATTTTTCATTAGTATGGATTTTGATTGCTAAAGGCTATTTGCTGAAAGTTAATATGTATGACACAAAATAACTGGGTATTAAGGAACCGATATTTTAGTTGTGAAAACCAGAAATTATAGTCATTTTAATTCATAGAATTCGCTCTTCATATGAATTCAACTAAATCAAGGATAGATAGGAATTCATTTTTAAATGAAAATTCACTTTAATTCATTGTAAGCTGAAAATAAAAATGGTAATATCAAGATGTAAAAGTAACATCCTCGCTTATTTGCACCAATCCGAGACGAATCATAGTCAGAACCAATAAACGTGAATAAATAAAATTACATGAGACTAAATGTGTCCCACTGTTAGTGACACTTGGAGGTTTAATCACTGTCGAGTCGGTGATCGGGAATCCTTGAAGGAGCTACGCTAGAATGAGATGACTGTCCAATACTCCGTACTTTTCAAACATTTTTCTAGTAAATATCTATCCACGACAAAAATACGCATAAGCTTTTAAGAAATTTATCTATTTGTAGGATATTCTATTAAGAGGAAACGAAAGTGGAAAACAACTGGAGACAGGGATTATACAAGAACATTTCTCATGCTTTTTAATAGTGTAACTTTTCTCAGTATATATGAAGTAACGAGGAATTCTTTAGATAGCTCAGTACGGATAAAATTCTTGTCTTTCACCCTCACTACTACTTCAAACTCAAACTGATTCATCCCCTACAACATCCAGTATTTCTAGGGTTGCATACAAAACAACAGGACATTTCAAGGATCTATTAAATTCATTAGTATAGTCAATCACCGATCTTTTTAACATATCTGTGTGTTTAGAAAAAAAGTAACACCTAGACTAACTTGCAGGCGCTTATAAATTTTTTGGAATACTGCCGGTCACATACATTTATCATACCAATCGAGAAATAATTCACTATGTCCGTTACTAGGCAATCATTAAAACTTGAATAGTTGTTTAGTCACTGTACTGGACCTATGTTTTCGAACACTATGTTTGTTAGTACTTATTTGTAGATTCATATAACCCTAACACTCTCAGGTAACAGCGGAATTTCACATGAAACGTTAACTTCAACTAAAGTTTTGTTATAGTTAATGTAAGATGTGACTTTTCAAAATTTATGTATAATATACATTGTACTAATTTATTCACATAACAGCGAAAATGTTGGAAAGCCATATAAATCAAAGTTACCGTCAGGTAAGCATATGTAAATTAAAATGGAGTCAATAATTTTAATATATAAGATTTCGTCATTTTATTGGCAAAGGTTGAATATCTTTTATTAATTTTGAGCAGCAACCTAACTGTTAAACAACCTGATATAGATGATACAAAGCAATCAATTTGTGTATGGTTAAAGACCTGAATAAAGCCAGCACAGAAAAACTTACACCGGAAAAAGTAAAATAATTTACTATTGTAGACTCTCAAAGTTTGAACACAACAAACAAAACACAAAAAGTATTTTCCAACAATGATTCTACTGACAAAATGTAAGTAGTATGAATGTTCATACCCATTTTTCTAGCTTTGGTTAACTTTCATATAAGTAGATACGGATAATTTTCCCGTAGAATTGTTTTGCATATAAAAATGCGGTGGCAAAATGTTGCACTGGAAAATATATACTCCACATATTAATCCATTCATTCAAGAGTTATTTGGTAAATATTTCACAAATTTATGTAAAATAGGCAGAAAATAGCTAACAGTAGAACCCAGGAGGCGCGTTAATCCCGTTTTTTTACTCACCAGCTAGATGGTGTCAATTGGATAATCCACAACATTACAAATTAAGTGTAAATTCATATCCGTTGCACAAGTGAGTGATTATCTGAATTGATTAGCTAAGTGGGCAAGGTGTTGTTGTTTAAAGCAAACAATACTAGGTACGATCTTGAGGCGAACACCAAAGTTAGAATGGAGGAACATCTATCTAATGAGTCCTCAATAGGGCAAAACACTCGTCCTGAATTTGACTGTTAGCCACGTTCCATTTATTCTATATGAATTCATATCATTATAACTATAGTGAAATAATCCCCACAGAATGCACATATGACAACTGAAACTGATCAAATTTCAGTCATAATATCAACAACGGAATGACCTAAACCAATAAAAATGAAATCATTGTGTTACCAAGTTTGAAATTAATTTAAAAAAAGTCGAATCCAGTCAAAAAGAATATGACGACTCTAAATATAGACAAAACTAAGCTTGAAGATGTGAAATTGACCACTAACAAAGGCTCG